TGCCGGCCAGTGAATTGAGGGAGGAAGTGATGGGATGCTGTTTTCCCTGCCTCAGTGCCCCGGAGATGGAGGTACCACAAAACAGAGCCAGCCTTTCACCTGGAGGGCAACTGCCCTGGAGAACCCTTGGACTCACACCAGACTGTGCTGGATGCAAAACAAACTTTCGTTGTGTTGAGACACTTTGATATGGAGCTCATTTGTTACCGCAGCATAACCTAGCCTTGCTAACCGATACAGATTTGGAAAACCACATTCTGGTTCCAGGGATGCCAACAGACCTTCGACAAGTCCCTTGACTCCTCCAGGCCTCAATTTCCCCACATGCAGGGTGGGGCAAGGGGTCTTATTTCCACTGACCAGAGCCCGTGCTGCTCATATTCCCAAACCCCAGAGACCTGAGGAGTATTTGCCAGCGCAAAGGGCTGTTGGGCGCTGAGTGCTCACCGAACACCGGCCACTGGGAGGACCATCTCAGGGACATCATGGAATATCATGGAATCCTCAGTGATCCCAGGAGGGAGGCAACATCATTATCTGCATGGCGCCATGAGGAAAAGTGAGGCTCAGAGAGGTGAAGTCACTTGTCCAGGAACACCAGCATCTGTGACTCTTAACTGCTCCAAAGACAACCCCCATCTAGTAGTTTAATTTTTTTCTTATAAATGCAACCAAAAAAAAAGCCCACCAGTGACAACCCGAAAGAACTTAGACTAGGGATTCTTTTTATTTATTTTTTAATTTTTTTAAAGGTTTTATTTATTTATTTGACAGAGACACAGCGAGAGAGGGAACACAAGCAGGGGGAGTGGGAGAGGGAGAAGCAGGCCTCCCGCGGAGCAGGGAGCCCGACGCGGGGCTCCATCCCAGGACCCCGGGATCACAACCTGAGCCAAAACCAAGAGTCAGATGCTTAACCGACTGAGCCACCTAGGCGTCCCAGGATTTTTTCTAAATTTGCCATCTTTGAAGCGTGCAGTTCAAGAGTCATAAGTACATTCACCATCTTGTGCAGCCTTCACCCCCATCCATCTCCAGAACGCTTGTTACGTTGCTGAACTCTGTCCCCATTAAGCACTCACTTCCCACTTCCCCTCCCCCCAGGCACTGGCCCCCACCATTCTACCCTCTGACTCTCTGAATTCGCCCCTTCTAGGGGCCCAACGCACGCAGAATCGCGCCGTATTTGTCCTTTGGTGTCTGGCTTATTTCACTTAGCATTACGCCCTCCGGGTTCATCTATACCGAAGCAGGTGCCAGAACTGCCTTCCTTTTTAAGGCTGAGTGATATTCCATTACATGTGCCGACCACAGTTTGTTTACCCATTTGTCTGCGGATGGACACTCGGGTCGTCTCTCCCTTTCAGCTCTGGTGCATAACACTGCTGTGAACACGGGTGGACATATATCTGCTTGAGCCCCTGCTTTCAATTTTTTTGGGTCTGTGCCCAGAAGTGGGATTGCTGGATCGTATGCTAATTCTATTTTTAATTTCTTGAAGAAACTCCACACCGTCCTCCACAGTGGCTGCACCATCCTCCATTCCCACCATCGTGGCACGAGGTTCCAGTTTCTCCACGTCCTCATCAACCCTGGTGAGTTTCTGTGAAGTAGTATCTCATGTGCTTTTGATTTTCATTTCTCTGACAATCCCTGGGGGAATAACAATTGTTTAAATGCAAAAAAAAAAAAAAAAGAAGAATTTTTTAAATGCCACTGGTGAGTCCATGGTGGTCCAATCCTCTGGACCCGCTTCCACGGGAAGAGGAAGCAGGGGATTGGGGTGCTGCCCCATTCCTGGGGATACTGTAGCCACATCTCGAAGTCCTCAGCTCCCAAACAGGTGAGTGAGGCTCTGCTCCTGGGGATGCAGTGTGCCCCGCACCCCAGTGAACAGGCTAAGAAGGAGGCCCTACCCCCCTGGCAGGGGGACTTCAGAACTCTGCCTCTAATGTTGTAACCTCTACTTCCCCCCTGCTAGGCCTGACGGGAACTGAGCTGGGCCTTTCCAGCGCTGGCTGACTCTGTGACCTGGAGTCTCCACCCTGGCCTGGGCCACGGAGCAGAGTGGAGGAAACGCCATAGCCAGGCATGGGGCAAGGAGGGGACGGGTGTCATCTGCATGTCTCTTGGCCTTTCACGTTCAGACAGGGGCAGCTTTGGGTGTGGGATAAGAGCAGGGCCTTTGGAGCCAGACAGACTCAGTCTGGGTCCATCTCTGCCATTCACCAGCTGCGTGACCTTGCATGAGTCACTTCCCCCTTCCCCCTCCGGCCCTCACTTTCTCCTCTGGAAAATGGCTGAAATGGTGCTTGGCACACCGTAAGCACTCACTAAGGACTTTCTAGAATTGCCAGCGTCATCCTCGTTGTCACAACATCCACACGAATGGTGAGGTCATGCCTGTGTCAAACATTCCATGGCTCCCCGGTGCCGGCAGGAGAAAGTCCACCATGCTCATGGACTGGTGGGCACTGCCTGGACTGGCCCCTGCCGACATCTCCAACCTCCTCTACCCCTCACTCATCACATTCCAGTCACCTGGGCCTCCCTCCTGGCCCTCTGACCCTCAGCACTCCTTTCTGCCACAGGCCCTTTGCACGTGCTCTTCCTCCTGCCCGAAATGTGTTTCCCCCACCCAATTCCACTCCCATCCCTTCAAAAACAAACCTAAAAGACCCTGTCTCACTTCAAACATCACTTCTTCAGAGAAGTCTTCCTGGACACCCCCACCCCCATCCACTTGGGACCGCTTGCCCCACCCCCCACCCCATAGCACTTCCCACATGTGACTTGTGCAATTACTTGAGGAATGTCAGCCACCCCACAGGAGTTCCATGAGGCCAGGATCATGCTTGTTTTGTTCTTTGCTATAGTGCAAGCTCCAGCAACAGGGTTGACCCGGGTGCCCCCCAAATATCATTCAAATTGAATTATTAATTTCCAGAATCTCCCTGACTTTGGAAACTCGGATTTTTTTTCAACAAAGGCTATCCTTTCCCCACATAGCTAAATAAGCTTTAACTTTCATACCTTTGATGAGACAAATGTGAGAAAACCCTCAGCTACATCCTGTGTCCTAATTTCTCAGCTCAGAAAAATATGGTCACTGCACTCAGATCAGCTGCTCACAGTTCCTGCCGTGCGTTCTCCCAGTCCCGCCTCCAGCCACCCCTTCCTCCGAACGCAGGGGAGGCTTCGGGCTGCTCTGCGGGTCAGCCCTTGCTTGGGGATAAATGCCAACCATGAGTAATGGCGGGTCGCAGGGGGAGATGCAGATGCATTTTCAGCCCCGTCAGCAAGATCAGCGAGAGTCTCGGTGGCCCCTTGCCCGGGGTGAGGGCCTGACTCAGCTGGTCCACACACAGCAGCCCCGCAACCAGCTGGAGAGTTAGGGCACGGACCCCAAGGGGGCCACAGGGCAGGAGGCCTCGTGTTGCCAAAATCCACGCGTGCACTGACTCGTCCCTCCTCACACTTGTCTACCGTGCGGCCACTACCAGGAGCCGGGAGCTCTGGGGGAGGCTCTAGTGAAGACCCAGGTCCCACCCTCCTCTAGCAGGAGAAAGACCTCAACCTCAACAGGCCATTGCACAAACATACGAATCAGAGGCCGGGGCTCCACCCCTTTCCCCAGGCTCGCCACCCTTGCTTCTCTGGGCTTCCTCGGGCCTATGGGTGGCAGGGCTGGCTTTACAGGCTGCTTCGGAAGGCCCCCAGGGAAGGAGGTGTTCAGACACAGGCAGTGTGCATGTCCATTCAAAACGCTCTCAATGAAAGAACTTTCTTGACTCTGAGATGGAAACTAGTGCCATGTAACAATCCCTGTTGGCACCACAGTGCTGATGGTGGTTAGGGCCAGCTCAGGGAAGGGACACCCACCCTGAGGAGACCTGGAAGAAGGGCGGGGTGTCTCAGGACATAGGTGAGTTGAGGGAGGTCCGGGGTCACTGCCTGGTGGGGCTCGGTGGTGAGGCCTTGGGGGTGAATGAGGCCCACCCACAGGGAGGACAGGCCCTGGAGGAAGGAGCTTGGCCCGGGGCCTTGGGGAGGGAGAGGGAGGAGGGCAGGAAAACCTGGATTGTCCTAGTGCCCTGCTCACCCCTACTCGCACAGGGGTGGGCACACGCACAGACCCACAGAGGACTTCCCGCCCAGGATTCCCAGGCTGACCGGTCAGGCAGCAGACTCTGCCCATCCCCCCAGTGATCAAAGTCCTCAGCCAGGCAGAGCTTGGGGGGTGCTCAGCCTTTCTGGACCCTCACCCCCTCACTCCTCACGGCTGCTTGGCGCCGTGTCCTACCCCCGCATTCTGCTGCTGGGGCCGCAGAGGCTTTCTCTGGAAAGGGGAGCAGATTCGGGTAGGGATGGAGAGGCGAGAGGCCCCATTTCCCGAGAAGGGAGGCCTAAACCACGGGGAGACGGAAACCCTCAGGGAAATTGGCACCCCATCTGCTTACAGCCCAAAGACAAGAGTTCTCAGCTGCCGTCACATGGACACACACACACATGCACACTGACACACATGTGCGCAGACACACACCGTCCTCCCCTCGCACTGAGCACACACTGGCATGCAGAGGAACACCCTGACACGCTCAGAATGACACACCGACACAAGGCACCAACGCTGACATGCGCGTGCACACACACCCACGCATACGCGCGCGCACACGTAAAACTCTTGTCAGTCGGTCTGCGGTCGGCTCCAGAACAGCCCTCTCCTGAGGCGGCAGCCCCCTCTGCGAACCGCTCCTGTGTTCCCACGATCCTCCAGGCTGCCCCCCAGCTGCCACAACGCCTGAAATCCTGAGAAATTAGGAAAGATTCTTTCGAAACGCACACGTCGAATTTTAGGCTTAAACAATATTTTGAAAAATTGGGGCTCAGTTCTCAGGCTCGGTTGGAGGTGATCTTGTGTTACCAGGCAGGAGGGGGCTGGTAGGAGGGAGGCTGGGGCGGGGTTGGGGGAGTGGAGAGCAATGGGGTGGGCGGGAGGGCGGCGGCAGACTCCATGGTTGGGGGGCAAACGCCATGAAGCAAGAGATGGCTGAGGGCCGTGGGGGTCAAGGACACAGGGGTCTGAGAGTCCCAATCCCCCCCCCCACTGCATTCACTCTGCAATCCTTCCCAAAGGGCTTCTCTCCACAGAGCCTCAGTTTCCCCATCTGTACAATGGGTGCGACCTACCCCATGGGGCTAGTGCGAGAATTAAAGGACATCATACCTGTAAAGTGCTAGGCTTTGGAAGCCCCAGAAAAGAGAGTGGGGGTGGGATGGGAATACCTCGCGCCGGTGCCCCCCCCCCAACCCCGGGGAAAACCGGGCTGAAAAAAACCAGCATTTTCCTTTTCACTGCGGCTGAAGCAGCGCTTCCCCGTAGGACTGTGCCTGCTTATCAGCAGCAAAGCCGCTCTCTCCGCCAGAAGGTGACTGTGGGGGCTCCGGCTCCCCCTCCAGCCTCCAGCCCGACTCCCACGGAGGAAACGCTGAATTTTCTCCCGCGTTCAGGTTTCTCCCCCCACCAACCCCCAAACAATTTTGCATATATTTAAATCTCTGCTGTTTCCAGTCTGAGCCGCTCCCCCCCCCCCCCCCCCCGAAAGAGTGAAAAAGAAATTACAAAGCCCGTCATTTGTCTCCGTCCCCGCACCCCATCTATCAGGGCCCGAGCCCGTCGCCTGGAAGGAGGCGCGCGCCCGGACGGCCGCTTTAATGGGGCGCCGCGTGTGACTGTGCGGCCGGGCGGGCGCAGCCGGCCGGCATTTGCATACATATTAAACGGAGCAGTAAAAAATGCAGACATGCAAACCATTTGGACGGGCTCCTCGGCGCAGAGCCTGCCAGGAAATCAATCTTCTGGTTTCTTAAAGGAAACCTGCTCGGGAGGAGGTGGCGAAGCCACGCAGCCCGCAGGCCCTGGGAGGGGGCGGCCGTCATCTGTCCATCTTTCCACTGGAGCCCAGCCGGCTGTGGGGGTCCTTGCCGGCCGGGGCCTCGCTGGACCGCGGACAGGGAGCGGGGAGGGACGCGGAGCCCCCATCAGCCTGGGCGTGGGGCCTGGCTCAGCTGGCTGTGTGCCCTAGAGCAAGAGGCTTGGCCCCTCCGAGCTCCCCTCACCCTCACCCCGTGGCAGTGATCCTTTAGCACAGCGCCTCCCCACCCCCAGTGGGTGCTGAAGATTCTTCCCTCACTTTGTGACTCTGGGGCTTAAGGGACTCAGCCAAGTGGCCCAGCCCTCTATGCAGGGCCAGGTTCCCAAGCCAGGTGTGAAGATTGGCCAAGAGCACAGGCTCTGGAGGCAGGTGGCCTGAATTCAAAGTCAGGCTCCGCTCCTTCCAAGCTGTGTGACCCTGGGTGAGTACATCAACCTCTCTGTTTCCTGGGGGGGAAAATGAGGCTCAATCTATCTCCCTCTTAGGTATGTTGTTGGATTAAAGTAGGTCAGCCATTGCCTGGCATGAAGTAAGGAATCCATAAGTGATGGCAGAACAGAGTGTAGGAGGGTCCTTGGTGTTACTGGTGTGGTTTTCCAGGTTAAAATCCCTCTCTATGTCTGCATGGCCTGGCCAGTCACTCCTCTCTGGAGCCTCCTTACCTGTAAACAGGGTGTTTGATTCCCATAGGAATGTGTAGCTCACACAGATCACCTACCCCACCCTCCAGACATGTGGGGTCCCAGTACTTCCGCTGCTGTTTCCACCAGATGTGGCCAAGGCAGCGCCTCGGAGGGCTCCCGAGCCCATCATCCTCTGGCAGCTTAGGCAAAGCCCAGGGCCTGGATGGGGGGTGGGGGGACACCCTGAGCAAGCCCCAAACGGATTGAATGTCTGCGGGACCGGGCAAGGCAAGTGGCCCAGAGCCTTAGCGGAAACAGCCTGCTGCTGCCCATTTCACCCACCCTCTCCCTTAATTCCCTTAATTCCACTTTACAGAGAAGGAAACTGAGGCTCAGTAAGACGTGCCACGGCCACAAAGTTGGAAGGAGGTGGGAGCTGGGATACAAATCTGCTCTGAACGACTATAGAGGCCACCTCCCCAGACGGTCCATTGTAAATACTGTCAGTGGATGGAGCTCATTCTGGGGTGCCGGGGCTCATTCTGGGGTGCCAGGGAATGCTGCGTCTCCCAAAGAAGGCGTGTGCTTGTGGAGAAAGAAATCCGTTTTTGTGCCTGGGCGGTACCCGTGAAGGTCCTTCCTTGAAAAGGTTGGGAATAAGGAAGGAAAGCGGGCTTTCGAGAACCAGCTCAAGTTTGCCCTCCACCCGTTCACTCCACACTCCCGGAGGTGAGGAATGGAGGTGACCAGTGTCCCCAGGACAGGCTAAGCAGTGGGCAATGCCAGGGCGGTGACGGGGGTGGGGGGTGCGCCCAGGCCAGTGAAAGCCACCTTCCTTTCTGAGCCTCTAGGGCTTGAGTTGAAGAGCCAGGCCAGGGCTGGGGGGTGGGGAGTGGTCTTTGCCTTCGGTGGAGACAGTGTCCCATCTGAGTCGCACAGTGACTTCCGTGCTGTGTGGAGCTGTAGCCTGGTGCCATGGGGGAAAAAAGGCTGAATCCAGAGTGTGGTCCGGTTCAGTGGGGCCTCCCTGTGTGACCTTGGGCAAAGGCCCTGCCCTCTCTGGACCAAGGTGGCTGCGCTAACCATATTCCTTCTCTGTCTCTCCTTGGAAGCCCCTCCCTTTCGCCCCTGGCCTCCTAGCTCCCTGGGCCTCTGGCCCTCCACCTCCCTCCGCTTCTCCCGCTCCCCAGCACAGGCCGCCCCCACTGCCGGGCAGGCAGGCGGAGGAGGCCGGCAGGGCGGGAAAAGGCGGGAGGGGCCGGAGTTACAGGAACCGGCTGAGGCCCCGGCGATTGCTCAACTGGGGAGCCTGGCCCGGCCAGCCTCCACAGGCCTCCACCTCCACCAGCCCGCCCTCCCTTCTAGCTCCGCATTGCAAACATTCCTCGCCAACCTCGGTTGCTGCAGCCCTGGAAGAGGGAACTGCCGCAGACACAGCACGAGGCCGCCAGAAACACTTAACCCCTTCTGTCCTTGCAGGCAGAGCCTTGGGGCGGGAGGATGGAGCAGGGTGGCCACCGGGGTGCCCGGGCTCTGAGTGAGCTGGTCAGGTGAATCGCTGGCAGCCCTGGCTGGCCCTGGGTTACGAACCTTAATCAACAGGCTGTCTCCAGTCATGGATTCACTCAGCAGACATTTCCAGAGCTCTCCTTGGGCACTGGACCTGGGTAATCAGACAGGGAGGTCCTCACGGAGCCCACATTCTGGTATGGCGGGGAAGGGAAGGAGGGCCGTCAAATAAAGAGGAGTTTTTTTTTACATCATTACAATGATGAGTGCTACAAAGGAGAAGTACAGGGTGAGCCTGTGCATGAACTAAAGTGGCTCAATGAGGCAGGGAGGGCTTCCTGGGGGAAGTGACATTTTGGGAGCCATGAGAAGAGGAGAGGGAGTGTTCTAGGCAGAGGATGCAGCCCGCATGAGGCTCTAGAGAGAAGAGGGAGGGAGAGGTGGGCATGTTCTAGTCTGTGTGCCTGAAGGAGAGAGGGTAAAGGGGTGGAGAGCCCTCAGATGGGAGGGCTTGGCCTTCGCCAGGTTCCGGAAGGCCTTAGGGCCACTCCCAGGCTTAGATGGTCTTCGGAGGGCAGTAAGGAGCCACGGATGGGTTCTACCTGGGGAATCATCCAGCTCCAGGCCCTATGATTCCTTCGAGTGAAAAACAGAATCTTCACAGAGAGAGGGAGCTAACATGTTTTCAAGTACAAACCAAATACACTCTAAGACCAGAACACCTGAACCACGCCAAAGTGCCACCAACAGGAGACATTTCAAATGGCAGCCTGGCAGCCGGGCCTGGCACTGGATTCTCCTGGGGCCTGGGTGGCCACTCTGAGCCGTGCTGTCCCCAGGCCGGCCAGAGGCCACAGGCGCATGTTGGCTCCTCCTACCAGGGTGGTAGTTGGCCCCTTCCACGCCCCAGACACCGCTCTGCAGACAGCTGGACCTCAATAAATGCAGCAATTAGAGCGTTGAAGTTAAGAAGAGCTGAGAGATCATCAGGTCCACAGCCTCCTCACTTCCCAGGTGAAGGAACAGACCCAGGGGCAGCTTCCGTGAGAGGCAGGTGTGGCGGACCTGGGCCGGCCGTGGTGGGTATGCCCCGGGCACAGGGGCGGAGGGGCAGGCATGCCCACAACATGTGTCCGGGGAGGAGACCAGCCTGCCCGTGACCTTGGCACCACAGAGGAGACCCCCAAACCCAGGAAACCGAGAACCGTTTGGAAATGGGCAGTCACTAAACCCAGCTCATGGAGGAGTCTACTCCTCTGCTCCCATAGAGCTTGAAGGAATGAGCCAGAGGACAGAGTAAGCTGGTAGGAAACTTCTTGACCGTACTGTTTTCACTGTGGACGTGTTTTCTTTTCTTCTTTTTCCTTCTTCTTCTTTTTAATGAAGTATTACTTAGAACACTGACATACCAAGGAGATGAAAATGGAGTTGCCCTGATTGGAGAGGAAGGGGGGGTCCTTGGACTTACCCCGTGCACACCCACGTAGGCTCTGTGTCCTCCTGGCCAGCCCCAGGCTCTTCAGAATGGACCGCGGGCCAGCAGGGGAGTCCATCCCCACATTTTGGGGATGGAGAAACTGAGGCCCAGAGAGGCTGAGGCACTTGCCCGGAGTCACACAGCCCCAAGGGATGGAGCCAAAGTGCTCCCAGGTCAGTCTGACCCAAAGACCTGCCATTGGCACCTGCCACTCCAAACCCCTCCGTCAGCCCAGGCCTAGGCTGAGGGGTCAGGAACCAGTGCCCGCGTTTCGTTTCCTGAGAGTCCATGCCTGGTCTATTTGCTGGGACAACACATGTAGCCAGAGCTCCCCAGGTCCTGCTCAGCGGCTTGAGATTTCTGGGGGGGGGGGGGGAAACACACCCAGGATGCTCCCTCTGTTGAAATCATGCCCCAACAGGACAGGAAGGGGCTGGGCAGGCTCCACGCCTGCACATGCCCCAAACAGAAGGAGAGGCTGAGCTCCTTCCAGCCCAGGGGTAACCCAAACAACAGCTGATGTCTGTTTTGGGGCTCCAAGTCCACTCCTGGTCACAGAGCAAGCACCTTCCAGGCAGTGATGCTTCTATAAGCGTTCTTTGAACCTGGAGTGCCACCAGCTTTGTCAGGCTAAAGCAATCCAGAGCCCTCATGCTGGGCCAGGGATCATCTCTCGGAATCAATACAACGTGAGGGCTTCACCAGCATCACCCCATTTTGCAGAGGGGAAACTGAGGACCGTGAAGTCACTTGCCTGGGGTCGCACAGCTAATAGCAAATGAGCAGGCCTGGGATGCAGGCATCTCAGGCACCTAAGGTCCATGCTCCTCACCTCTCGGCCTCCCTGCCTCCCAGTCTAGAGATGGGACCACTTCTCACAGCAGTGAGGCTCTGGTACTCCCAAGATTCCCCTGGCTCGCCCTGACCCCACGCCTTGTTCATGTACATGAAATCAAGATTTTATCTCACCTCTTTATTATCCGTTTATCCATCCTAAGTTTACTCTCCACTCTTCTCCACATGGGTTCACCGGGGTCTCTGAACTTCCAGAAGGTAGACCTGCTTGTGTTACTATAGCCCTCATCACAAAATCATCTCATTTTAGGCACATCATAGAAAGGAGTGGCCTAACCTGGAGATAGTGGTGGCACCTACCGCTTGGGGACAAGGATTGCACAGTGCCATGATGCCCGTGACACGCCCAGCACACGGAGAGCGCTCAAGAAAGGGGGCTGGATGAATACGGATGCTGTTGTTGTGTTGGTTGGTTGATGTGCTCTTCCCCTCCCTAGATCACAGGTTAGCAGGTTCACCTGTCAGAGTTACTAACTGGCACTCAATGGTAAGACCCCGACTGTGCAAAGGAGACATGCTTCCTGGCCTTCTTGTACTGAAGTGATGGCGACTGGGCAGTCAACCTTCGAGATGGTCACCAGAAGATTCCTACCTCCTACTGTTCACACCTCCATAGGCCCTTCCCACAGCGAACAGGGCTGCCCTGTGTGACCAACAGGATGCCGCAGAAATGACCCAAGGTTCGGTCATAAAAGGCGCCATGGCTTCAGTTTTGCTCTCTGGGGTCACTCACCCTGGGGGAAGCCACCATGTTGTAAGGGCACTCAAGCAACCCTACAGGGAAGGAACTGTGGCAAGGAACTGAGCTCTCCACCTTGCCAGCCCTGTGAGTGCACCATCTGAGGAGCCCATTGTCCAGACCCGGTCAAGCTGTCAGATGACACAGCCCCCACCAACACGTTGGCAGCTACCTCAAAAGTGACCACGAGCCAGAATCATCCGGCTAACCCACTTCTCAATGCCTTACCCATAGAAACTTTGAGAATAAATGCTTATGGTCTTCGGCCCCTAAGTTTGGGGTGATTTGTTATGCAGCTGTAGGTAACTAATACAGGAACGGGGAGACTTTTTAGTTATGAGGACTTGCTTCCCGCAGTGTGCTTTATGGAGTACTGATCCCAGACTAGGCTCCGGAAAAGCACAGTCTGTGCATTGCGGGCAGACCATGACTTGAGTCTCTTATTTGAGATTCCCAGTGCTCCTTGGCATATCCCAGCAGACCCCTCTGGGCAAGGAGACCTAGCCTTCTCCTAGCCCTGCATTTCTCAGGAGTCTTTGTGGAACTCTGGCCTCAGAGCTTCAGAGCGCTCTTTGGGAAACACAGCCAAATTGTCATGACAGCAAGTTCCTTGAGTACATTAAAGGATTATGCCCAGGGTAAAAACAAAAACACCCCCAGCCTGACATTCAGAGTGTGGCCTATGATATTCTACACAAAGACATGGCGGCTGGCCCGCCATGACAGACAGCCTGTCAGGGCCCCCTTCCCAGTTGAGGGGCTGGTTTGCCCTAGTTCCCGCCAGTCTCACCAGTCTAACACTCGGTGGTACTGGTCAGGGGTGCCAGGCCAGTGTCTGGCCACGGACATCAGACCATTAGGGGACTGTTTAGGGCTTAGATTTTGGTTCCCAAATTCTGCAGCTCCAGCTCTCCTGGGTTCCGTAGCCCCCCGGCACATGCGCCCGGCTGTGCTCTCCCCACCCCTAGAGTGGGCAAGGGTCGAATCCTCAATGCCAAGGCCCGAGTTGGAGGTTTCTCAGTGGGAACGCTACCCTGGTCTTAAAACACGAACCGCGGGAAAACAGCATTTGATATAGAAAAATTCATTTTACAGGCAACTTTTTAAGAGCGAATCCACCCCCTTCAGTGAGGGAAGCTGTGCTGAGAAAACCACATTCTTTCGGGCCCCTGGGGCTGCGTGGGGGTGGGAAGAGAGATCTTTCTACATGTTAGGAGGCAGAGGGCTTTTCTTTTGTTGAAAACATAATTTTACCCTCATGTTGCATCGTCTATCCAGGCATGGACGTCCTGGGGCTCTCAGGCCTTTCTGGAGCCATCTCTCCCAGATACCGGTGGCCTGGCCTCCTCCTTGGGTTAGAGTGAAGCCCCAGCAGCTGCCTCACCTGGGAGCCCCTGCCCAGGCCTGCTGCGTCCGGATCTGCATTCGGACAAGATCCCCAGGTGATCTGGGGCATATTAAAGTTGAGGAGAGCTCAGATGCACCCCAGAACTACTATCTCCAGGTGCCCCCAGCCTGCCCGCTCCTGGGCTCCTCCCTCCCCTTCCAGGCTCCCTATCCCATCACAGATGGCTTCTCAGAAGGGCTCCAGGTGCCGTCTAGCCCTCTGCACCTGCTTTCGTCACAGATATCCAGTGACACGGTCAGGGCATGAGGGGTGGGAAGTCAGGAGACCTGAACAAGAGGTTATGGCAACAGTAAAGACACCCAGGCCTTACGGAGCACTCACAACCCAGGAGGGAGGCAGTGAGACCCAGAAACTCAGAGAGGGAAAGCCATCTACCCCAGGTCACACGGGCAAAAACCAGCAGAGTCACGATGTCTCAATAGCTTTCCAGAGCACCCTGCTGCGTGAGGACTCCCTCCATGGGGAAGTGGGAGTGGCTGTGGGATTGTCAAAGAGTTGCGCCTCCATCCTAGTTGGCTTAGCCCCACGGTTCCCAAACTGGGTTCCCTGGGGGGCCCTCAAAAGCCATCTGCGGGGGGGCTCCGTGCTGTTTACAGCTTCTTGCAATTTCCCATGGTCACCATGGCTTTACTGATGACCAGGCCACTGCGAGTTACACACACACTGTCCCGTTTCTTCACTTTGGGTGGGATTCTATCGACCCACTGCCCTCATTCAGACTCTCCGGGGTGGCGGGGGTGGGGGAGGATGATGGGATTTGAACAGGCATCCTTGTTGCACTTGATTAACCTCAAATGTGAAAGCTTACATTACTTCCCAAATGCAGTTTGCCTGTTGGACAAACATGGGCCTTGGGGCAAATAACAGCAGGCGGGACTTTTCTGGCGGGGGTGTAGAGAGGAAGAGGAATTCAGTTAGAACTTTGAGGTACCGAAGGGAGGGCAAGTGTCTCCATTTTTTTTTCAGCAGTGGCACCTGCTTTCCCATATTTTCTTTAAAATGAGGCGGGGGCCTCCCAGCCCCCTCCCAGCCCTGCTGGTGCTGGGGTGCTGGGGTGCAGGGATAAGCCCCCACGGGTGGCAGCGCTGGGCCGCCTCAGGCGGCCCCGGAAAGCAAAGGACAACGGGGCAGGGCCAACCGTGCGCACATCCCAGGTCCTCGCTGGATGCTCTTCAGGCCACGTTCTCGGCAAAAGCTGTCCTTGAGGATGATGTGCAGGCTCTTGTTTGCAGGTTTTCAGGGGAGCAGAGTGGAAATCAGCCACAGAGGAACGTGAGTTTCTTGTAGAAAGCTGCAAGATGGGGCACGGGCCTCTCAGTGCGGCTTCCCTCCACCCGGCACCTTCCTTTCCATCTTGGGCACGTGGGTCTGGGCTGGTGCTTCTCCTGCTCTTTCTAGGCTGACCCTTGCCCTCCATCCCTCCACCCCTCCCACCTCCACCCCATACCCAGAGGAGGTGTGAGGCCTTGTAGGTACTGGCCAGGAGCACTCAAAGATTGAAGACCCGGGGCTCTGAAGTCTGGTGGATGCAGAGGACTCGCAATCAACTGACAATCTCACCTTGCAGCCCGTTGCCAAGACCGGCTTCCCCCGTCTGAAGATGTCTTGGTGGTGGTGGGGACCCCAGAGCTCAGGGCCACTGAAAGGTGTCCTTCCATCTGAGACTTTGGGCACAGGATTGGGAGGGGGAGGGACACAGTGATTTCATAAAAATGATTGTCACATGTCTGAGTAAAAGAAGCTGGAGACCTTAGTTCAAGACCGCGGACGAGAACACTTCAGTGAAGGCCAAGTAAACTGGGCTTCTTTTTTTTTTTTTTTAAGGAAAAAAAAAAAGATTTTACCTATGTGTTTGAGAGAGAGAGAGAGAGAGAGAGAGAGAGAGCAAGCGGGAAGGAGGGGCAGAGGGAGAGGAAGAAGCGGGCTCCCTGCTGAGGAGGGAGCCCGATGCGGGGCTTGATCCCAGGACCCTAGGATAATGACCTGAGCCGAAGACAGCTGTCCAACCAACGGAGTCACCCAGGCGCCCCCAAACTGGGCTTCAAATACAACACGAGAGGAGTCTGTTTTGAGATGTAAAAAAATGCACCATCCGCCTCAGCCACAGCAAAGGGCCTAGAACTCTGATGTCGATGCACCAATGAGGGGGCTTTTAAAGCAAGGTCCTATGGGAGTTTTCCCAGTGGTTCTTTCTGGGATGGATCAGTTACACAGGCTTGTGTGCCCCTTGGTCCGCCAGGTGTTTTCATTGGTCTGTCCTAGGAGATGTAGCCCCTCCAAGGCAGGAACCACCTCTGGTTCATCTTTATGCCCTAAAAGCTTGGTGCCCTATGGTCAGCACTCAAAGTCCTGAGGGTGTGTCTCCCCCACCGAGCTGAGCCCCTGTTGGAAGCGGGGCTCCGTTCTATTCATTAAGAACAAAGTGCCCACATCCAAAGCCTGGCCTCTCAGTTTCTCCCAGTGGGATCTTCAACAAGTCACTTCCCCTCTCTGGGCCACCTTCTCCTCACCCAGGAAAAGGCCATCCCAGGGGTTGTGTTAGGGCAGCCTGAGCAGGTAAAGAGTTTCTTCACTTGTGCCTAGCGTGCATGACATGCCCTCAAGTGGGATATCACCATCCAGTCTTCCAAGGGCCCAGTGCAAATGCTGGGCACACAGCAGGGGCTCAGACGTGTTTGGACAGATTTTTTTTAACCAACATTTCTTAAAGCATAAGGATAAAAATTTTATGCTATTTGTGGAAATTGGGGGGGGAGGGGCAGAGGGAAAGGGAGAGAGAGAATCTTAAGCAGGCTCCACGCCCAGTGCAGAGACTGACACGCAGTTCGATCCCACAACCCCGAGATTATGACCTGAGCCGAAATCAAGAGTTCAACCTTTAACCAACTGAGCCACCCAGGTGCCCTGAAAATGTGTTTTGTTTTTGTTTTTAAAGAGAGAGCTTGACCTCCTTCTCCCCACCTGCAGCCAGGCATGAAGATTGACACACACATGTCCCCATTTTACAGATGAGGAAGCCAAGGTTCAGAGATGTCAGAAGAGGTCCAAGGTCACTCAGTGGTAGAGTCAAGCTCTTAACTATTAGCATCTGGGGTTTCTAACCCCTGGCCTCTCTGAGATGCTTGCTTAAACCCCCCAGAGCCAGGCGCCCCGTTGCAGAGATAAGCAACAGTGACCAATTGCATATATGAATTAACCTGGCCAATTATCATATAGGAAGGCCAAATCCACTTCAGAGATTTCTCTGAGTGGGAACCAATAGGACAAAGAAGGAAGGTTTGAACCAGGTCACACCCAGAAACCACCAATTCTGGAAGAGTGCAAATTCCCCAAGACCGAGCTACCTCCGGCCAACTTCTGCTTCTTAGTAAGCAAGGAAAATGTGGGGAAGGGGCAGATTCAGTTTAGAAGGCTTCTGGGTTTCAGTATGAGACTTGAGAACAGTTGGTGGAGGGTGGGGGGAGGGAGGATCCATGCTCTGTAGCTTTCCCGAGGGGTCTCTCAAGCAGCTGGGTGAGCTGGTGAGGAGAATCTGGGCTCTCAAGCCACAGAAACGCGGGGGTCCCTCCTGGCAAGCTCTGGGACCTCCCTGACCTTCAGTCTCTTCATCTGAAATGAGTCCAGCAAAGCTTTGCTGTCCCACTGCATCTTGTGGAGCTAGTCTGGGTACTGGGGTCTCGGCAATATATGTCCACTGAACAGGTGCCGAGCACTCAGTCTGTGAAAGCTGCTCCGGTCGCTGGGGTTGCTGTTATAATCCCTGTAACCCGAATAAAACCGGGCAGCCTCGGGGCCCAGTCTCATCACCGCGGGGGGATTGGGGGGAGGGCTTCAAAAGAAACACCACTCTGACATTCCCAATCATTGGAAAGCAGTTTAAATGCTCCTGATCTCTCACAGAGACCCCAAAGGGGAATTCCTAGGCACACCACCCACAAAAGCATCCTCAAGACTCTCTGCTCCAATAACCTCAGTTTCCTCATCTGCAAAATGTAAACAACAACAGTTCTGCCTTCAAGGAGTCCTCGTGGGTGCTCCGCGAGATACACCTTGAAGTGTCTCAGATGCGCAGACACAGCCAGGCTGGGAAGTATGAGTGCGAACCATGACGGTCTCCTTCTCTTGCCCTCTGCATCCCACCCCAGTTAGGAGCTCTGGGCAGGGTCCCCTGCCAGGGAGTCTGGGCTGCCCAGGCCCTAGCACCCAGGCAGCTCCACCCACTGCCGCACGGAGCTCAGGAAAAGGACCCATGCTGTGCAGGCAAACTCTGAGGAAGAGGCAGCAAGGGCCAGGGCCCCGACATTAAGGTGGCATTCCCCTTCCCCTCCCGCCTGCGCAGAGGCAGCATCCCCTGGGTGTCATCTCAAAATGTCAGTGCTCAGAGGTCCAGGCCAGGGGTTCCCCAGGCACCCGGGGCCTGCTGAGACAGGAGAGAAAGATGGCTCCCCGCCGACTGAGGCCACTGATTGCCCTAAGCTTGGGCAGTGTGGCCCAAGGTGGCTGCCATGGCCACAGGGTAGGCCCCACATCAGGGACCTGTATGTCTCACTTCCCGAGGGGCCCCGAGCATTGGGTGAGACCCCCAGGTACGGTGCAAGAGGACCAGCCAGAGCGTCAGGGACGGCTTCCCAGAGGAAAGGCACAGAAGGGAAGTGTTGGAGAGGAAGGAAGGGAGTTCCAAGTGAGGCCCTGGAGGGAGAAAGTGGTGGGTTCCAGGAACAGAAAGAAGCTCTCTCCTACCATCACCTCCAATGTCACCTCCACTCTCACCTCTGCCAGCCCATTTGGAGCACCATGCCCCCTTGGGAGGTCAGGGGACCAGAGCTCTTACTCTCAATTCACAGATGGGGAGACCAGTCCTAAGAGAGAAAGGTACCAACCCCGGCTGGGACTAGAGCCTGTGTCTCCTGGCTCCCAGCTCAGGCGAGAATCAAGATGCAAGCCTGGGCCCCACGCACCCCTGGATCTGCCACGGGGTCAGTGGGCCTGCTACCATCACCCCCATTTTACTGGTGAAGAAACTGAGGCTTAGGGACACATCCCAACATCCCTCTAGTCCTGCCGTCTTCGTCTATCTCCGGGGAGCTAGGACAAGCCGGCGGTGCCCAGATGCCCTCCCCAGGTGGGGCAGGAAACGGCCCGGAGCGGGTGACTCGGGGTGAGGATGGAGGGAGCCCCCCATGGGTTGCAGAAACCAACACCAAGCCTGGGAAAGGCTGAGGAATGTGGGTGGGGATCGGGTGGGCCTCCACAGGGGACCAGTCTGAGAGGGGCCCAGGGCCCTAGGCAGCCACCTCACTCAGTCCCGGGTGAGCCCGGCTTCCCGAAAGACACCACCCACAGCTGGGCGGGGAGAAGGACCACTGCCTCCAGGCCGCCCAATCGGATGCACTCCCAGTCTGATGGAGGAGGCAGCCAGGGCGGAGGGCTCCCGGGGCCTTCCCGGAGGAGCCCCCGGGACCTCCCCCGGACTCGGCGGCCCCCCGCCCCCTCGCCCCCCCCCACCCCCAGCCTCATTAGCACCGACGCCCGTCGTCCTCCCCTCGGCTTCCGGTGGCTCCAGAATGTAAAGGTTAAATCCTAACCTCATCTCAGCAGTTTCTCCCGGCTTTGCCTACCCAGCGCCAGTTGCTGGTAATTATATGCATCTCCGAGCAGCCAATCAGCTGTCAGACTGACAGATACTGATCTTTTCGTTTTATTTTTAGCTCTGTGCTTCCCCCTCTAGTTGCAAAAAAAAATTCTGTTTGTTCTGTGTGCGGCTGCCTGGCTCCCAGCTCTGCAGCCGGCTCTCATCTCCGCCAGCCGGGCGGGAGCAGGAAGCCGCAGGGGCTGGAGCCTCCTGTCCTTCCAGAAATGAAGGAACAAAACAGACCGGCTGCCCCCCAGCTGCGGACCCCGGGCCGCGATGGGGAAGGGAGGAGGCCGGGTGCTGCGCGCAGAGGCGCCCTCGGAGGCTGAGGGAGCCTGAGAGGCGCTGCGCTTGGCTTGTGGCCTTGCACGGGAGGAAAGCAAGTCCTTACCTGCAGGCTGGGGGCTAACAGAGAGAGGCAGACACAGAGCTAGACTGAGAAAGGGAAAGAGAGGGCAGCGGAAGGGAAAAGACAAGTTCTCACCCCCTGGAAATACTCTCCCCTCCAGAACTGAACAGAAGGGGGCAGGAATGGCTGCCGGCCTGCGAGCACTGGAATGGGAGTCAAGAGGTGGCTTTCCAGCCAGGCCTGCAGGGCCCAGGCAGGGGGTAGGAGTGGGGGTACCTGGGCCACCTCTCCCAGGCCTGGGTGCCTCATTTGCCTCCTGAAGGGCAAGTGAAGTGCTCCGCAGAGTCTATTTGTGGGTCATTCTGAAAGGTTCTGTGGACTCCCCTGGGGGCACCAGGAAGCTGGCGAGTGTAGGCCAGCCGGCAAGGAGGCCCCTGTTCACATGAGGTCTCTGGAAGGAGAGAAGGAATCTGAGGGTCAGGCAAGCTCTTAGGTCCCAGAGTCACCCAGGCTTTAGTCAAGGGCCTTGATCCAGGAGAGTGTCAGGGGGCTCCTCTTCTTCCCCATAGTTAGCCTCCGGCTGCGTGACCCAGGGGCCAGGGGGCCCGGCCAGGATCACCTCTGCTCTGATTGGCCTGTGGGGAGGGGAGGCAGTGTAGCCTAATGGTTTGGGCTTTGGGGCACA